GACGCGACGAGCAACTGCCAAGCAGATTGAATGCTGATTGTTTCATTCATAGAATGCAAAACCTGCTTCACATCAGTGGCACTCCTATAGTTGGAGGTGACTTCCAACAACTTCCCTGGGCCAATCATCAATGACATCATCGGAGCCCACCAAACTGAGACTCACCCACACGCGCATGCACTTGCACACATACAGTCAAAACTCGGCAAGTAAGCACGGGGCATACATGCAAGATCGCTTTATCACAAACATATTCAGAACATAGCAAACAAAAGTCTGAATCAGAATCTTTAGCAAAAACATCAACTGGACAACGGACAGGATTTTCTCATAAAAGTTCACAGTTCTTGCACAGCACAAAAAAAAAAAACGATGCTGCAAAGGTAGCGACTTCCCAAACAAAACACTTGCAGATAAAGAAACAAAAAAAGTTCGGCGATATTGCCTCCTATTTCTTGCACGCGGATTTCTGTCTGCTCTCAGGCTCTTCTTTTTGTTTTTGTGAAAGAAGCGGCATATGATAGGGCAGTTCCTTATGCTTTTTCTTTCTTTTGTGCTTTTTAGTTTACTGTTTTTGCGGGCGAAGCTGCAACGGGTCATCTAGGCTTCATCTTAAAAATCTTCTTTGTTTCCCAATTTCATTCAAAAAATTTAATTTTCTCGAATTAATTTATTGCGGGCATTTTTGCTGAATTAAAGTAATTCCCACACTCTGCCTGCACATAAATCCCCAAATTCCTTTTATCTTTTCCTTCTTCAAAAAAAAATTCTCCTTCTTGAAATTTATTTAATTATTTTTTGACATCTTGTAAATTTGGATTTTTATTTTTATTTTCTTCTTTGGAAAACCTTGGCAATTATGTTTCTTTATTGATAAATAAATCAGAAACTCCCCCCCCTCCCCCGAATCTCCACATGCCACCGCACAACACCAAGAACTCCCAACGCGCCGCCACCGACACCACTGCTGCTGTCACCGCTGCCACCGCGTCTGCCTCCACCTCATCCGCAGCCGTCGCCTCAGCCACCTCATCCATTCCATCTTGCCCCAACATGGCCCAATCCTCCAGCATCGATATGACTTCCGTCAACACCCAGTCTGTTGACAGCCGCGCTCGCGAACTTATGGGCGAACAAAGATCCGAGCCCGTTGCCACCGATATCGCCACCCTCATTCGCATGATGTCCTCTTTCCAAACGGACATCCGCGCGTCCATCACCAAAATCGAAGCCAGTATCTCTGGCCTATCCAACCGTGTGACCTCTATCGAGCATCAAACCCCGACAATCACAGTGGTCACGACCACGATACCCACCTCTACGACTGTGCCCACATCCACCGCCCTCGAGTCCCATACCCCCTCCATCCAGGCGGTCACCACC